CGTCTGCAAATTTACTGAGGGCACACTCAATCCCCTCAGCCAGGTCATTGAGAAAGATATTAAACAAGACTAGCCCTAGAAATGAGCCCTGGGGGACACCGCTTGTGACCGGCCGCCAACTGGATTTAACTCTGTTGACCACAACTCTCTGGGCTCAGCCATCCATCAAGTTTTTTACCCAGCAAAAGAAAGGTATGCATCTACAGCAAAATAAAAGCTATGATTAAGATACACCGTATGATTAATACATACCAGTATTTAAACAAATTGTCTACTTATAATGCCTTGAAGACTACTGAAAAATGCAGAAGTCAGTGCTGAAAAGAAACTTCAATTCAGCAGCATAAACCTAAAACATGTTGTCAAAACATGAACGTTTTTAACTATATGTTGGTCCATAGGGCTGATTGTCCCCAAGACACAATATGTTTTCTGAACTGACATCACATGGACTATTTGTAAACTGTTTTTCTTGGCTGAATTCTCTGTAGAAATTAATCCTGGATTGCTCAATTATTGGCCCTAATCCACAATGGCAAGAGAACAAGCTACCAAAAAAAACCCGGACACCCTAACAAAACAACAACAAACAAAAAATCCAAATCCTTCTCTGTCCTTTCTGTTTGAGGTTGTTAGGCCCTGAACAGGGGCAATTGAACTTATTTTTGCATTTTCAGCAGCTGCAGGTAGTTCAAAATACTAATGCAAACCAATCAATTTTATGTAACTTTACTATAGCAGTTTATAAAGTGTGCAGTTGAGAAAGCAGATAAACATCCCTTTCATTATCTGTGCTACTGAAATGGGTCATCTCTGGCAGTGGTATCAGTCAGGTGCCATCATTCTGCAAGCATGAATCATTTCAGCCTTCTCTGCAAATTCACCTATGAAAACATTTTAACATACTCAACCCTACAAAAAGAAAAACTTTGTAATGCAATGTTGAGTTGCTGGGCACAACATACCAGCATTAAAGTGAAAGCTCGAGGCATTTGTTACTTTAAGGAAATTTCATCATGTGGTAATATTCCTGGATGTTTAAATACTATTTATAATGGTTTCATACAATTTACAAGTCAGTAAAATGTAGTAATACCAAATACTTAAAACTAAAGATCTCGGAATTTAGAGGGTCATCATCTTATTTTAAATAATTGTATTCAGAAAGAGTACCAATGCACTTCTTTCTCTCCCATATGCAGACAAGGAAGTTCTCTGAGTTGCAGACCACTGTATTTGCTCCATTTTCCTTCATCTTGGTTTTTATTCTCCTGTGGTAAGGAAATGACCTCTCTCAAAACAAAAACCTGTATCATCATGAATATTTAGGGAACCAATTCCAGTACTTTTCTCAGAAGCTTGACAAGTTTCATCTCAGATAGTAAGTTTCAAGATTTACTTTTTTTTTTTGACTACAAAGAATATTACTTATTTGACAACCCTTACCTTTACAGTGTGCCTTCAACTGATCCTTCCAGCCACATTCAATTAATTTGGCTCTCAGCAACTCTTTAAGGCTGTTAAACCAATATACAAACTTGTTAGGAACAGCAAACATTCCTGACAGCTTAAATATACTTCAGTGTGAAAGTTAAGCTTACAATTACTACTCATAGCAGAACTCCCAGACCAGCAGCAGAAATGGCTGAACAGCATGTGAATTCTCCTAGAGAAGCTGGCGGCTCATGGCTTAGAAAGGAGTACTCTTCGCTGGGTAAAAACTTGATGGATGGCTGAGCCCAGAGAGTTGTGGTCAACAGAGTTAAATCCAGTTGGCAGCCGGTCACAAGCGGTGTCCCCCAGGGCTCAGTTCTAGGGCCAGTCTTGTTTAATTTCTTTATCAACGACCTGGCTGAGGGGATAGAGTGTGCCCTCAGTAAATCTGCAGACGACACCAAACTGGGTGGGAGTGTTGATCTGCTCGAGGGGAGGAGGGCTCTGCAGAGGGACCTGGACAGGCTGGATCGATGGGCCGAGGCCAACTGTATGAGGCTCAAAAAGGCCAAGTGCCGGGTCCTGCACTTGGGTCACAACAACCCCATGCAGCGCCACAGGCTTGGGGAAGAGTGGCTGGAAAGCTGCCTGGCAGAAAAGGATCTGGGGGTACTGGTTGACAGCCAGCTGAGTATGAGCAAGCAGTGTGCCCAGGTGGCCAAGAAGGCCAATGGCATCCCCGCTTGTATCAGGAATAGTGTGGCCAGCAGGAGTAGGGAAGTGATAATGCCCCTGTACTCCACACTGGTGAGGCCACACCTTGAATACTGTGTTCGGTTTTGGGCCCCTCACTACAAGAAAGATGTTGTGTTGCTGGAACATGTCCATAGGAGAGCAACAAAGCTGGTGAGGGGTGTGGAGCACAAGAGTCATGAGGAGCAGCTGAGGGAACTGGGGTTGTTCAGCCTGGAGAAGAAACCCTATCACCCTCTACAGCTACCTGTAGCAAGGTGGGGGTCGGCCTCCTTTCCCTGGTAACGGATGATAGGACGAGGGGGAATGGTCTGAAGTTGCATCAGGGCAGGACATTAGGAAATATTTTTTCACTGAAAGGGTTGTCAAGCACTGGAACAGGCTGCCCAGG